ACAAGCTGCTGATTATTTCACATTTTACTTGTGAGCAACGGCACATTTAAATCTTACAAATATAGTTATTTGGCTGATATCGTGATAGATATCGTTATCGCCTGAAATGAAAAAAACATATCGTGATATGAAAAAATCTCATATCGCCCAGCTCTAGTTGCATTTATATTTTGGTTTCCTTCCCACTGTCATATTGTTGGGGTTTCTCTTGCATTGCTCTACTAATTGGTGCCTTATGTTGTGTTTAGTTTCGGGGGTGTCACTGCATGAGCTTATTAGCAGCTGCCGTAAACTTCCACACCAGCAGTCAGGAAATATTAAATCAAATGGCGCTCTTTCATTTATGCTCCTGAACGGTGTATATGACAGATGGTGGCCGTATCGCCTACACCAGCGGTCTCCAACCTTTTTTGCACCACGGACCGGTTTATGCCCGACAATATTTCCACAGACCAGCCTTTAAGGTGTCGCGGATAAATACAACAAAATAAAACTAGTACCGGTACCGAAAAAAATAAGATTTATTCATAACACACGTGAAAAGACCCAGGAAAACAGAGTTAACGATAAAAACGATAACAAAATAACGCTGAAAACCGATAAAAACACTGAAAACCACACATTTCACACCTGAGCCTCAACTCTCGCGGCCCGGTACCAAACGACTGATGTACCGGTCCGAGGCCCAGGGGTTGGGGACCGCTGACCTATACTGTGTACTCATACTTTGGGAACTTTAAGGTCTAAAAGCACAGAATTAGAATAAATTAGAATCCACAATAGACTGTGTGCCATTGATGGGCGTAGCCAGTGTGACATCAGCCAGTGGTTTTTCCATTCTACAGTTTTTAAGCGTCAGTATTGGTGCTTTGGTCAAAGTAGGCCATGTGTTTCTACACTTCATTTTGTCTTCCTTGTGCAGAGTACCGATTCTGTGCAGCTGGCGTTGAAACTGGACGGCTCAAAGCTGGAGGGCAGATCCATCCGGGTGAAGAGGTCACTGAAGAAGGAGAAGCAGAAGAGTAACGGTGATGGCAAAGCAACAAGAAGGAAGACCGGCAAGACTCTGAAGACGGGTTCTGGACGGGAGAGGGCGGCTGGTCGAGGAGCTTTCAAGTCCCCAAGGAAGGTGATGGGAAACCAGCGCAAGTTGAGCAGAAGCTCCGCTTCTTTCAAAGGAGAGATGGCAGATCCAGACAAAAAGACTAAAAAGAAAGCACTGAAGAAAAAGAGAGTGAAGCCAGAAAAGTCTGTTCATATTTAAACTGAGGACAGAAAAAGCATGTGGTCGCTGTGATCAGAGTCGTTTGGAAGAGCAGCAGGTTCAGAGCCTGACTCCAACACAGCTGACATCCAGGCAGCTAAACGAGAACTTCCTCTGCCCAGCATAAAGTCACAGGTCCTTCCCACAGGGCTGTGTTGGACTTGATCTGTAACCGTTTCACTTATTTGGTTAAAATACGTCATTTCTTTTATTCTGTGTCTGAATTTATTGTCACTGTTTTCTTTCTTCCTTGCAAATCACCAGCAAAACCTCTAAATTGGGTTATTATTGAAAGCAAATGATCCACACTAATAACTTTTGAAGGCAGATGAGTCAGTGAAGTTTTAGATGCTGTCGTGACCTCTGACCTCTGTCACAGAGCCCGGTGGCGTCCTCTCTCCAAAAGAAAGCAGAGACATTTCTCACCACCAGTGTGTTGGTTGCTGTGCAGCATCGTTCTCTCGTGTCACTGTTGCTAACGTGCCACAGTTCATAGCAGCCTCCTGCTCTCCTCCCTGTACCTCCACCAGCCTGTAGATGAGGACCATTAGAACAGAGTAGCTGCACCTCCAGCACTCAGGGCGCTTTGGCACAGAGGTTCAGCTGCGCGGTTTAATAAAGACCTCAAACTGTTCTGAGGCGCAGTGCCAGGGTGACCAGGACTGAACACTCAACACAGCTGCGGTTTGTTCAGATGGTTTATTCTTGCTAAAGAGGGCCGTCCTCTTCAAACAGAACAAAACATATCGTCACTCTTAAAAGCGTTTCCAAGTCTAGAATGGAAAGACAGACGAGACGTAACAAAACAATAAATACTCATCCGAGCACATTCTGGTTTATACTACTGACGTTGTCATGGAGACGGCAGGTACAACCACATCAGGCAGCGTAAACCTTGTACATAATCCTGTCAGATGTGTGTTGCACCACCTTGGAGGAAGGAGTGGATTCATCTTTGAATCCAGCCCAGTTGGTTATTACATACATGAGGATTTGGGAGCGGGGACAGGCCGGATTGCATTTCTCTACATTTTTTTGTGGCCTCATGATTTAGATATCCTAATACCCCAAAATGGGTAATACAAGTTCAAAAAGAAAACCTTTCAATGGACAAAGGAAGAGAAACTGAACCCCTTTAGGGAGGCTGGATGGGGTGAAAGTGACAGGAGGCCGAGGTGTGGGCAGGTTGTGATGAACAAACGGGGAGCAGGGGTGGCTTCTTCTGGGCTCTCATTCTATATCATCCTCACTCAGACTCTGTGCGCTCACGATACGCTGCAAGACAGGAAACAAAGGTCCTCGGCTTTATGGTTTGACGTGTGCATGACTGATGAACACTTTAGAGATGATTCAAAGACTCCAGAGTTAAAACTGCTCGACTCCATGTCCTGCATGCTGTCATAATAACTGATCCTAGAGCAATTCACAAACCTGGCTGATACTGGGCAGCTTGGTGAGCAGCATCTGGAAGACGGGTGGAGGCAGAGTCTGCTGCAGCACCTGTAGTAGCTGCTGAGGCTGACCACACACAGCGATGGCGTTGGTCAGGTGATCCACACCTTTCTCGTAGTCTCCTGTAGTCAAAGCAAAAGGAAACAAAAGCTTATAAGCTCCACATGCAGGCGTCTGTACCCATACTGGGTGTCCCAACAGCAGGGAAGGAGCCATTTTAGCGCCGCAGCAAGGTCACCACTGGCTGTACTGCAGTAAACCGTTTGACCAGTTCAGTGGTACGAGTTTCAATAAAGAGTAAATTACCCTGAGCCAGCAGCTCCTCTCCCAACTGGATTTCCTCCAGGAAGAACTTCTGCACGGCTTCAGCATCCTTCAGATCTGGAAGCTGCACAACAGTCACAGTAAGCAGTCACAGCTGATTTCTGTCACGTTTGTGTGAAGTAGCTTGCAGTTGTACAGCAGAGTCAGTATCAGTGCTTTGGTTTGAAGTTGTCCTTTAATGTGGTGGGTGTCAGCTTTAATACAGAAACACGGTCAGCTCCGTGCACGCGTGTGCACATGTAAAGGTGCCGGCATGTAGAGACTGCTCACCTTTGCCAGGCCTGCCCTCTCTTTGGCAGCCTTCTGCTTTCTTCTCCCTGTGACAAGAACAGGACAAACTGCTCATGTTGCTCCAGCCCTCAAAACATGTCCATCTTGGTTTTAACAAGAAAGTAGTCTTAGACAGTAGCTGCTACACTCACAAAGTTACGAGTATAAGACAGACACAGAAATGGGCTTAAAGCTAAACTAGCTCCAAGTTCAGCTTCTGCTCCCTCATATCAACTATTTACTGGAAATTTAGGCCTGATTTTTGTAGGCCAGTGATTATTTGTCACCTTGTCGTCCAGCTGACCATGTTCAGGTGACTGGTAACAATTACAAACTGCCTGCAATACAAAAACTGGAATGTGTTTATTTCTGTTTATACACAGTTTGCTGCTTCGGCCGTATTCCCTGAAGCAAATTTAACAAACTCCAATTTCAAACTTTTAGTGTCCCCCAGAACACCTGAGTGCACCATGGCAACGGGTAAATAAACAGTAAAGCCTTGATTATAACCCAGAGGACTGAGGAATATGAATGTGTGCCAGCGTGGGTCATATTTCTCTCAAAAATCACGCAGGACAGAGTTATTTTAATCAGCTTGGTCCACTGTGTCGTTACCATAGACAGAATATGATGCTCACACAAGTCAGGCAGCATTACTGTGGATAGAGACAAAGCTACAAATACACAATACAGATCTTTTTCTGCGCATGTTACCAATCTGTGGTGTAACTGCCGTCTCTCTTCTGCGCTTGTGTGAGAACACAAAATGGCAAACATACAAGCTGGGTCGTTGTTTGTAAGAAACTCTATGAACGAGCAAACATCAGTATCACTCAGCTGGTCCAGGAGCAGCAGGGGAGTCGGAAAGAAACTCAGAGCTGTGGTTTTGCTCACAGAGTCTGTTACCATGTACGTGAAAACCTGGAGTTTCCTCATGTTTGGATTAACTAACTGGAACAAGGCCCAATCTTCCTGGAATAACACGATAATCTCCAGCAGGCTGGAAGCCCAGCTAACAAGACATCATGCTAAATATGTTCGTTGTGTAATTACTTGAAATGGAAATAGCTTTGTGAATGAGTGTGTGCTGCAGGTCACATCACAGGATAGTAAAGCCTTTCTCTCACAGTGTTTGGAGTTTTGCTGGCAGGACAAATCTGAATGAGCACCTGGACGTATATAAATACTACCTGGTAATGTGGCCTTGGAGACAACTGAGGTTCTCTGATTCCAGCCTCCATAAGCTGCCCAGCGGCTCAAGTTTGAGGTAGCACACTTTAGACCGGCACTGGTATATTCAGTATATTTATGTGTGTACAGCCATATAAAAGCCTTTTATTTTGTGTCTCGAAATAGGGTTAGGCAACACCAAAATAATGGTTTGTTTTGAAGCACAGCCACTAATCGTATGCTCCCCTTTACAAATCATGTCACCAGTTATTTCTACAGATCCTTTTAGAGGATGGAAGAGCTCAGGATCCAGGGAGGGCGCAAAGAATGTGATTACTGTCACATCGTGGCTTGTCAGCTACAAACCCATTAACTTAACGATGTGAGAACATGAATGAAGTCCCAGCTATGCTTTGTTTAATTTACTGAATTGATTGTAGCGCTCCTCCACAGCCTCTGGACAAGCTAACTGGACCGAACGAAACTGCCCGGTGTCCGAACCAGCGAACCCGGCGAAGGTGAGAAAAAGAGCAGCGAGGAGGTCAACACTTACGTTCTCGTAGCCTGTTCTTGAAGTTCGGGTCATTCCGTCGTTTCCTGTCGAAATAAATACAGTAACCGACGAACAGAGCCCCGCATACACCCGCCGCTATGGCACTCGTCCTTCCGCCCATCATAACTCGAAAGACCCGCTCGGTTTTTGGAGGATTTCGGGCTAATCTGGATTTTTTACCTCCGGTTGTCGTTTTCTGTCAGGCGGCTGATGGAGCGGCTCAAGGAAGGAAGGACCGTAAGGACCCCACCTTTGACAGCTAGTAACCGCCTGAAAACGCCTGACTGAAAATGAGACAAACGAGCCATTTTCTCAGGCAGTTTGCCTGTAAATGATCAAAAGGTTGTAGTCAAGTGAAAATAAAAGTCTGTTCCAAATATGTGTGGTTTACACAGATTATCAGGTACATATGATAAAACAGCGAATTTGAGAATATAACGGCAGTTTCAGCTACATTATATTTTGTGTTAGTTTCTTTGTAAATACGATACACCTCTGTTATCATTTGGTTTTATGTTGAAGAGCTCATTTCTAAAACCTGCACAAATTTTTTTTCTGGTCCTCGTTAAAGAGTACACGCCAACTGGTTTATTTATTTGTTCTTTTTTTTGTTTTTAGAAAGTTTGTTTTCAAAATAAATGAGCGCCAGTGACGTCATCCTAAGCCACATAAACCTGTGTTTAGTTTTCGTTGATGTTTTTTTTTTTTAATTGTACAAACTAACAATTACAGCGCATATCTTACAAGTCAAAAAGATGTGTACAAGTACAGGTGGTTAAGAACAAAGCAGCCATCGAACAAAGAACAAAAGAACAGTATAGGTCAGAGACAACATAAAACAACATACAAGTACATTAAGTGACCTTACATATAAAAGTTAAAAAGTAAAAAAAAAAAAAAAAGTACGCACACACAGTCTAGCTACATCAGTTGAAAAGCTACATCAAAAATTACCTTTATTTAAGTTACACTTGTCTAATGAAGCCTTCAATAGGAGAACTACGTGGCGACCGTGGCTCAGGGGGTTGGGAAGCGTATCTGTAACCGGAAGGTCGCCGGTTCGATCCCCGGGCTCTCTGTCCTGGTCGTTGTGTCCTTGGGCAAGACACTTTACCCTACTGGTGTTGGCCAGAGGGGCCGATGGCGTGATATGGCAGCCTCGCTTCTGTCAGGTTGTAGCTACCTCCACCAGTGTGTGAATGAATAGTGGTATTGTAAAGCGCTTTGGGTGCCTTGAAAAGCGCTATATAAATCCAATCCATTATTAAAAATCGGAATAATTTTCAAGAACCGACATTTGTGAATGAAAAATTTTGCAACTATAAATAAGTTGTTAATCCCAAATTCTATTTTTTTTATCTTCTGTTTGTAGGCCAAATATAATTACTTGAAAGGTTAGAGAAGGGCAGTATTTTTAGAGGTTAACCAGTACTGAAAATCAT